CAAAATCAAACATATACTGTGCACTTGTATGCGATGATTTTCCCCTTAATCAGGTCATTTTACCCTTTTGTTGGGTGCAGAGGGGTTAAGATAGTTATGGAATGGGCTAAAGTTATAAGTGAGATCAAATAGTAGAGTCAGGGCTGGAAATTAAAGGATGATCACCCAAATTTGGGGAAGCTAGAGGACACGAGAGGGAAAGAATAAAATAGAATACAAAGGAGTAGTCAGAAAGGGCAGAGACAATGTTTATTCTCTTGAAAGGTTAAATTCGGGGCTGGGGATTTAGCTCAGCGGCAAAAGCGCCTGTCTGGCACGCGCAAGGTCGTGAGTTCGGTTCCCGGTACCAGAGAAAAACCAAAAAAAAAAGTTAAATTCGAGAAGTAGTTGAGGAAAGAGGGAAAATGGGTCTATAGAAGAGAACGAAAAAAGAAGGGAAAAAAATGAAAGAGAATGAAAATGAACAGGAGAGAAGAAAAAGAAGATGAAAGAGAGGAGAGAACAAAAGGATAGGAAAAAAAACCTCCAAATACAAATATAACTACCAAATACAGAAGGAAACAAGATGAGATCCAGCCAGACAGAAGAGGGATAACCAGTCAGACAAACAAGGGAGAAAGAAAGTAGTAAAATACCTCTGATGTTTACAGTTCTGTGATAGTGTCCAGATTTAATCCCAGAAATGTGTTGGGTATGGAGCTGATCTTGGCCTCTGGATGTGGGGCCTGGGCCTGGACTTCTGCTGGTGGAGTTTTCTGGAGTCCAACCACTGGCTCCTCACTGCTGCTTCAGACACTTCCACACGTCCACACTGCTAGTCTTGCCATTTACTCTGCCCTCCAGAGGCGTGTGTTCACCCATGTACCTGGGACCTGGTTGTTGTCCTGTGGGGTCTTGGGGTTCCTGTCAGTCTACTCGACAAAGGCATGTGTCCTTACATTCCTTCCAAAGACCTAGTCATCCCCGAAACAGTGGAGGAAGCACAGAGCGGGGACTCACTCTCCTCTAGCAGGCCCTGCCATCCCAGAGAGGATGTAGGCAGCATTTTAAATAAAAGGAGAAAGAAATAGAGTAGAATAAAAAATATTGGAGTGTACTAAAACTTTTAATGGTATTTCTTTTTATTTAACATGTAAGTAACATAGGAGTTCAGAGCCAGGCCCATGCCCTTGAAGTAAGACTGTGTGCTGGGTAGGATGGGCCCTTTCATAGAGGAGTCAAAAGTAGTAAGTTCCTCATATTCCCCGTTTGAGTAAGATCACCTTTCCCTAGTAGTTCATACCCGCATCTGCAGGGTTAAGAAGGATTCCAAACATCTGTTCCTTCCTTTGTAGCACCTTTAGTCTTCCATTATTATTTGCTTGGATTCAATCAGAACTAATTTCATTTGTCCAGCAGTGTAAGTAGTTCAGGGTTTCCAGGTTGCCCCTCACTCAGTCATTATAGTCTCTGTACATCTTTATACTTTTTCCTCTACAGTACCTTTAACCTTTTACCTATTGACGTAATTCATCATTAGCAAAATTTCTTCTATCATCAAACTTTGGACTTTGCTATCTTTTACTGACTGAAATCAGTCTTCCTAAGGACATTGTTTCTCTGTACCTTCCTTACTGTTAGTTTATTTATTTCCCAGCACCCCTTGTGTCACTGGAATAAGTGGCAAAATATATATCTTTACCGATCCTCATTTCTGCTTTTAGACCTCTATTTATCCTTCCTCTCTAAAATCCTTTCAGCTTTGAATTTATTGTCAAAAGATTATATCACCTACTTAATGCCAGTATTGCCCCTCATTCCCTTAATGCCAGTATTGCCCCTCATTCCCTAAATTCCCTTGTATTTCCTGGTTTGCAATTGATCTCTTGCTTAATAATTTTAATATCTTTGTAAGTGATTCTTCCAGTACTTCAGCCTGTTAATTACTTCAGTAACTCCCAAAGATCAGACCTATAGTCTTATCATTTATTAATAATGACATTGCTCATCTTAATACAAATTCCCATTCTCTCTTTTTTTTAACTTCTCATCTTTTGGCTCATTTTTATTAGTATTCTAAAATTTTGGGGCCCAAGCCGTACCTCCAGTTTATTGTTTCTATCTTGTTTTCATGGTCATTATTACCTTTATTACATCCTCCTTGCCTTACAGTAGGTTAAATTTCATCACCTGTTACTATAATCACTGTCTTGTGTATATCTTTAACTTCCTTATCTGAGTTAATCCCAACTCTGTCTATTCTGTACCTTATAACAGAATGTAGTAAGACAAAATCATGCTGATTGGTATATCTTTAAATTTATGACCATTGTCTTCAGAGAACCTCTTACTGTTATTATGTAGTCATAGTATATCTTTCTGGTTTATCTGTATTCTCCTAAATAGTTATTCTCTCCTCAGACTTTCAAAATCCCACTTCTTTATTCTCTACCTGATAACTGTGTTCTTTCCTGTTTGATTTCACTGACAAAGGTAATCATAAAAGAATTTCCACAAACTCCAAATCTCTCTTTGCATTTTACCCACATATTCTACTTTTTCTTGTGTTACTCAAGCTCCTAAAATGAGACATCACTTTTGCTTTAGATTATGTTCTGCATGTCCTCTACCTCTTCGGAGACTTCATACTAATTCTTCCCTGTTCTATATCATCAACATTTACTTTACTTAACAATCTGCTGATTGTTATCATTTAAACACAGTGCTATTTCTTTCATTTGAGAGAGGAAAATTTTGATTCCCTACCCCCTTCTGGGCATGATTCCATTTCTGTAGACCCCTGGATAACAAAACTCCTGAAGAGTTGGGTTTTACTTGTCATTTCCAGTTCCTGCCTTCCTATTTCTTTGGGACCCGATTAGAGCAGAAATGTGCTAGTGTTCTTGTTAAAATCACTGTTGACTGCATTACTAAATTTAGTGGTAATCTTGTCTAGTTTCAAGTCTCTCAGTGTCATTTATATGCACTCTAAACTTCATATCTGTTATTTACACCTCCTTTCTAAACATGCTTCCTGAATTGCAGATTTCTGTATCCTGTTATTTACTCATCTTCTCCAGTTGAATGTCTAATAAACATTTCACATTTAACATTTCCAAAATGAAAGTCTTCATCTCTAGTCTGTCCAGTATCAGTTGTTGGCAGCTTCATCCTTCCAGCTATTATGTCTAAAATCTTCAGGATGATTATTGATACCTTTCTCCCATATATAATTTTTTTTCTTTTTCAGGAAATGGTTCTGTGCTATCTTCAAAATTTATCCAGAATTCAGTTACTTTATACCACTTCTATTAACCATCACACTCGTATTCTTTATCTGTTTACTGGCCTAAGCTACCACAGCTTTATGTATATTTCATTGACCTGCTGTGTCCTGACTTCCTCTGTTAACCCCTTTCCCATCCATTTTCAATAGTGCTGTCATTGCGATCCTTTTGAAGCATGAATCCAATCTTGTTAGTCCAATAGCTTTGTCTAGAGTTAAAGTAGAAACCATTAATGCCTCAGTACATTTTCTGTCACCACCATGGCTATTACCTTTGTCACCCATTCCCTACCAGTACTTACTTGGGTCTATTTACATGGCTTTTTTTCTTTTTCTTTTTCTTTTTTTTGGTACTGGAAATTGAATTCAGGATCTTGCGCTTGCCAGGCAGGCGCTTATGCTACTGAGCTATATCTCTGGCCCTGGGTCTGTTTACATGGGGTTCCTTTCTTGTTCCTAAACATTTTGTACTGACTCTTTTCCTTTGCCTGAAATCATCTTTGTCTCTATATTATCATGCTTTGTTTCCTTCCTACCCTTCAAGTCTTTGCTCAAATGTCACATTCTTTGAGACCTACCCTGATAACTCATTTTAAAGTTACAGAGTTTCCCTACGTCATATTCTTTACCCATTTACCCTACTTCCTCCTTAAATGGAAGAAAAAAAAACTGACAATATTCAACTGCATAGGTTACTTACTTTGCTTATTCTTACTAAAATGTAAGCTTCAAGCTTGGAGTGGTGGCAGATATCTGTAATCCCAGTGCTGGAGCAGTCCGAAGCAGGAGGATCACTGTAAGTTGGAGGCCAGCCTGTCTCAAAAAACCAAAAAGTAAATAAATATCTCTTGAAGGTGGGTGTGGCAGCACATGCCTGTAATCGCAGCACTCTGAGCCTGAGATGGGAGGATTCTTTGTTCAATCCCAGCCTGGATGATTTAGGGAGACCCTGAGCACCCCCTCCCCTGAAGAAAAAGGCTGTGGATGTAGGTCAATGTGAGGCCCTAGGCTTAATCTGTAGTATTATGAAAAAATAAAATAATCAATTGAAGAAGTATATTTCCTGAATTATAACATAAAGATGTAAAATCTTTTTTCTAATATATATTGCTGTCTGAAAAAGTACTTTGGGAAAGTATTTCCTATCAGATTGGGAGTTTGAAGTGTATATGAGTTTTGTGGCAAAGAAATTTAGTACATTTGTGTGTAGTTATCAAATGGAAAGTCAGGTGTAACCCCAGGGTAGTTTACAATAAACAGAACTAAAGATATTTAGAGTAAAAGTAAAGCTTCCTGGAAACCTTATCCAAGTTATGTAACCTCTCAGGCTGCAGCTGCTCATCAATAAAAAACAATTGGCTAGCCATTCTTTCTATGATGTTTTCTAGCTCTAATGATTTCTAAAAACTTGTATTGCTAAATTTTACTGTAATCTTCTGGAATGAAGCACCTGTTACTCCCTGGAATACACTTCTTCAGTGAAGAAATTAGTGATTCCCAATTGTGCTGTCTACTTGTATCTCTTCTTGAGCTAAAGAAATAGTATTTTAATATTCAGATTTGTACTAATTTGTAATATATATATGTAAAGCAAGGTTGTTTGGATTCAGCAGTTCTTCTGCATTTAGGAAATTCTTCTGCAGTTAGGAAATTACCAAACAATGAAAAATGAAGCTACAAATCTACCAATTTTTCAAGAACTATTAAAAATTAATTTTTTATTTTTATTTTTCAGACGGTCTTAAAATCGCTACACTTGCCAAAAAACAACAGTCTTTATGTTCTGACACCAGATTTGCCACCACCTTCGTCATCTAGTCATGCTGGGTAAGGTGTTTGTATTTTCTGGGAATCTGAAATGAAAAGTTTGTTGCTTTAAACTGTATATAAACATCAAAATTAAATCAAATAAAAATCTCATGGAAGGCTTAACTTACAAGAAACTATTAAGTATATCAGTTTTCAAACTATTGGCTGTGAATAATTTGTTGTTGCGGTGGGTTTTTTTGTTTGTTTCAAGACAGGGTCTCACTATGTAGTGCAGACTGGCTTTGAAGTTGCTTATATAGCCCAAACTGGCCTCAAACTCAAAACAGTTCTCCTGCCTCAGCTTCCTGAGTGCTGGGATTACAGGAATGTGCCACCATGCCTGGCTTAATTTGTTGTTTTAATGGTGGAATCTTCTTACCCAAAGACAGTCTAGCAAAATGCTAGTAGTGCGTTAAAAATACTCAAAATGGCTCTTTGATTAGAGGGGAAGGGTTAGAGTTAGAGGTAAGGTAAAGAACAAATGGAACCCCAGCTTCTCATTGCTAAGGAAGGCATTTCTCCTGGGAAAATTTCAGTGAGCTCTGTGGAATAACAGTAACATAAAGTTTTTATGCAGCTTTTCTTTTGGCTAGGGGCGCAAGGCTTGGTAGTAGAGGGCTTGCCTAGCCTGTGCAAAGCTTAGATTCAATCCCTAGCACTAGGGAGGAAAAGATTTTCTCTATTTGGAGTACAGATGCTTGTTTCAGCTTTCACAGTGGAACTCAGTGTATTTATAGAATAATCAAATGATTTCATTTTATTTTGTGATGTTAGATATTGAACCCAGGGAACACTGAGCTATACCCTTTAACCCTTTAAAAATTTTTAATTTTATATTTGATACAGGATCTCTCTACATTGCCCATGCTGGCCTCAAGCTTGCAGTCCTCCTGCCTCAGCCTTTTGAGTAGCTTGGTTTACAGATACACAATAACTGTGTCTGGCTGACTTTGATATTTAATTGTGTTTTAAGTTAATTATTGCTAAATGAGGCAAATGATCTATAGTAATTGATTATGCTAGTGATAGCATAATTTTGGGTTATCTTTTTGTACAGTATTATCTCAGAACTATGTGTAAGTTGGTTTTTGATTTTCACAGCTTTTAAACGCTTTTTCTCTTAATATAATGGGTGTTTTTGTTTCATTTTAAAGGAGATATTTGTATCCCTAAACTTTGCTCCTAAGCTCTTCCCCCCAATACTAATCATAACACTTCAGTTTTTTGGTAGGTAGCAGAAAAAACTTTTTTTTTTTGCATGTTTTTACCATAGTAGAAATCCTAAACAGTTAAATCTGACATAATTGTATTTGATAGCCTGTTAGTAGTTTCTTTTGTCTTAAGACTTTAAAGAGTTTTTGTATTGCTCGCTATCTTCTGTGTTTAGATGATACATTAATGAGACCTGGAATTTGCACAGTATTATAAAATTAAAAGCTACAAGCTTACAGTCCTTGTGTTTATAATAATGTTCATATAAATCTCAGGTGAGATTACATTAGGCAGTTATAGGTATAGTTCTGTATCCAGTCACACAGAACTTTGTTTGTAGTTTAGTCAACAAAGTATAATCACTGTCATATACTATGTAATCCATGTAATATAATTAAAATTGGACAGTAGAAATCATTGTAATCTAGTGCTTTCCAGTAGTGTGTTTAAATGGGTTTATCACATTGTCTTCCTGGACTAATGGAAATGTTCTTCATTGCTATGTGGCTGGCCTCTGTTTGCCAGTCACTCAGTCCCTAGACAAGTAGGGACCTATGGAGCTACTAAAATAGCGGTGTTTAATGGAGAATGAGAAATTAAAGAAAGGTACGTGAAGAAAACCTCTATTGGCTTTGTGGATTTTTACCAAGTTGTAATAACACTGTTCCTTGTGTTGGAATAATAACAAAGAGAAAAATTAAACGTCAAACAGAAGATGTAGTGCGAGGGGGGACCTATGGAGATTCCTGGTATTATAAAAGTGATGTTAGCACACATTTTCTGAAAATCTAACTAATATGTCAGGGTTTTCTTTGTTGTTGTATGTTTATCTTCTGTATCTTTTTGTAAAAAATAAAGATTACTCTTTATAACACAAGTCTTCAATGCTTATTTTGTGGTAACAGCTTGATTGATTGATTGATGCTGGGATTGAACTCAGGGCCTTGTGCATGTTAGGCCCATGCTCTGCCGCTAAACTATGTCCCCAGCCTTTATGGAAACAATTTTTTCAAAGGGCCATGTAGAAACTTAATGGTGATGATTATTTTTAACGTGTGATTTTTAATTTATTTGGTGTTTCACCAAATAAAAATAACTCTTGAATTCTTAAACTAAATAGTGGAGTACCAAAAAAGTTTCCTAGAGAAAATTAAATAGTGTATGACATTAGAAAAGTAATTCAGTAATAATGTTGTTCTGCATTAGTCTCCATAATGAATCAAATTTTTTTTTTAGAATTTTGTTATAATTGGTGAATTCTTAGCAATTTTATTTGTAATTTGTTACCTAATTTATAATCTTCAAAAAATAAAATGTAATTCTGGTTCTTGGGAATTGGCATATGAATAGAACAGTTCTAAAATTGATAGAGAAAAATAGGAAAGTTTGTGTACATATTATCTCCGTCTCTCTTCATCTCAGAGCTGACATGTTAAAAATTTTTTCAAAGCCAGCATATTTTATTTAGTTTGTTGGTTTGATATTTAATTGGTTTTATTGATTTTTAAAATGTTTTTCTCTGAAGTGATTTCAGTTAATGTTGGAAGATGGAGGGCAATTGGACAATAAACTATCCCTTAAGTACAGTGCTGAATACATCTGGTAGAGTCTACCATGTCAACTTCAGTGGAGTGGCAGACGTTAGGTCTTTTTTTCTTGTTTTTTAATAAAGTACTGATCTTTTCTAAAATATCTAAATAACGTTAGCATTGTGTGCCACCTCTAAAAAATGTATTATGATGAAATTAGGAAAGTAGTATGTTTGTAATTCATCTCTCCCAACAAAGTACATCAAACTCTAATGCTAAAGATCCTGGATTCTAGTCAGAGCATGGCTGAGGCCTTAGATTTTTTATTTATAAAATGGGAAGCATCATTTCCATTTCCAGGTTAGTTATACCATCCAGTAAATTGTAGTACATTATATGTGAAAGCACAAATTACAAAGCACAATTAAAATGATTTACTTATGATAATATAGTAATTTCCTTTCACCTAAAATTCCCTTGATTCTTTGTTTTTGTTTGTTTTCTTTTCTCTTTTGGTACAGGGAATCGAACTTGCAACCTTGTGCTTGCCAGGCAGGTGCTGTGCCACTGAGCTATATGCCCAGTCCAATTCCCTTGATTCTTACAACATCTCTGCAAGGATACAGGCCTATTTTAATGCCTTTATTTTATAGATAAAAAAAGTGAAGTCTTTTCTAGAATAGTTGAGAAAATTGAAATGCTTAGCAAATTTATGTAGCTTGATTGAGGTAATAGTAAATGCCTCTGACTCAGAAGACTACGCTCCATCTACTATAGCTTTCAGATAACTGCCAGAATATACAAAGCTGTATCCAAAAGGCAAATTTTTTGGGAGGCTGTCCTCTCAAATGAGATTTTAATTTTAAAAATTTTGTAATTTATCATGGTATACTCTTTGAAGGGCATTTTCTTATATTGTTTAACTTATTTTAATTTTCATGAATATTTATGAAACTTCAGTATGTGAATTTACTTACGGTACATTATAAATAATTTAATAAAACAGATATGAAGTAACATACTCCTAAATTGTTTACTGACCAACCATCTTCTCAAGTTTTGTTGAGAATTATAGATATAGAAAACTATACCTTTAACTGTGTCTTTAAAAAAAAAACTTGCTCGGCCTGGTGGTATCCATTGTAATTCCAGCATTCAGGAGGCTGAGGCAGGAGAACTGCTATGAATTTGAGGTCACCCCAGTGAGTTCAAGGCCAGCCTGAATTACATAGTGAGACCCTGTCTCAACAAAACTAAACCCAAACAAAACAAAACAAAAAACTTAATTTTACTGCCACTAGGGGGTGCCTAGTAATTGACTCTTTGTTATTTACAATTTCTTTCTGGGGAAAAAGTTCAAGAGCAAGAAAATAACTGTATGAACACATATAATTGAGTTTAGAATGATTTTAAAGTTAATTATGCTGTTTAGGAAACAGAATTTAAAGCTTTTAAAGAATTTTGAGAATTCTTAAATCATAATTTTTATAATACTTGAAAAGTGTTTTAAACCCTTTTAAAAAATAAACCATATTTCATTCATTGAAAATGTGAAGCTGCTATGGCACAACTATAAGTTAAATAGAATTAATAGTAAATTAGAGAGGAGAAAACTGTTGCTTGTACTTGTTTCATATTATTATAGGATTCAGTTTATCTGTGGTTTTTTTGATTCCTTATAGATAAAGACAAACTCTGTCCTCAAGAAGCTCGTAGTCTGTTCTTTAAGGATTTCATAATGAATTTTAAATTCATTCCTTTATAGAAAAGTTCCTTGAGTACAACTCCTCATGTTGCTTCTACTGCTCAGGGTACTTTTTATCCACTATTTTAAGTTTTCTTTTCTATACCTGCTCTAGTGTTCTCAGGAGTTCTGTGCTCAGCAGTCTCTCTTATTGTACCTTCTTCCTGACATGTGCTCTCAACCTTTCCATTTTTATGATAAGCATAGATAACGTACAGTTATCTTATGAGTTTCTCATTTGTGTGTCTTGTATGTAATCCAAAGTTGAATGTCTAGAACTAAGATATCTTCCTGAGAAACTGCTTTTGCCTATAATTTTTGTCTCAAATGAGTAACAGTGAAAACTACTGAGGTATATTCTAGTTGGGATGATGATTACCAAAAGGTCACTGGATTGGGCATACAAGTAAGAGATGACTTTGTTAAGGTCATTTTTGGTACAATGATGAAAATAATAACTAGGTTATAGTAGATTTTAAGGGATAAATGAGAAATACAGAACAGAAGTTTGTATTATTTTCAGAAAACTTGAC